GAAATCTGATTGGGGGTATTCGGTGGCAACTGGGATGCCTGTGCTTATACAGAGGATTGGCAAAATTGGTGAGGCCAATCGTGTTTTACAAAGGAAGTATCGCATCCAAGGCGAGGCAACATTGTGCTTGCACAAGGGGTACTATGCCCCTTCTTTTGTTGGTTAATTTTTAGAAATAGATTGGGAGGCAACATGTAGGTTGAGGATTGTTTGTTGTCAGAATCCTTGCTCTTCCTATGAAGCTGGTTAAATAAGTGAGGACGTCCAGTAGCTTTTGATGCTCAAAGTGACTTTCCTTTCTACTTTGGTAACACTATTTAACCCTTATAGCTTATAGCGATTGCAATTACAATCTCTAGTTGCAGATGACTCTCCTTATTTAATTGTCTATATTCATTATGGGCATAGTTTAAATCCGATACTAATGCTGTATGTTATGCTTTTGATTTTATCTTCAGGCTATGATGCCTACAATGGAGTTTTTCTGTACTTCTTTTTTCATTAATATAATTTCTCCATTTCTTATAAAAAAAAATTGAAAATGTTGGATTTAATTTTAACTTTTAACTTTACTTCCTCCATCCAAAAATAAAATAATTGTCATTTTTTACTTTAAATTTATTCTAAATTAATTTTCATTTCTTTATTTTTTAAGTAGACAAATATTTCTTGTCTTTTCTTTTTTTGGTAAAAAACAAATATTTCTTTTCTACTACTTTAACTCTATTGTTATCAATTTAGTATTTTAATTATTCATTTTGTCATAGAAGTCTATTTTTTATTTTTTATGTAATTTCTAGACTAACATAAGTAAATATATAAATTATTCCTAAATCTTTAATTTAAAACAAGTTCAAAAAACTAAATAGGATATTACTATAAATGTTTTAATTAGTCAAGTATCAATGACAATATAAAAATTGAAAATATTAAATTTATTAAACATGTTTATTTAATTTTAATATAATTGTTTAATCAAAATTTTTAAAAAAACGACAACAATGATACCAAATGGAATTTTAGTTTAGTAGTCTAATAAATAAAATGCATTAAAATTTAGGATTAGCTATTCCTATGACAACATCCAAATCTCCTAATTGCCTTCCACTTAGGGGTCTACTCTAGTGACCATTCTCTTTTGGAATAGGTGAACCAGCACTTGGATGTTGGATTCAAACCCCATCTGACTCCATGCACATATAGGACGAACTCCACTGATCTA